ATGTGGCTGCAAAATACATGCTTTCATTCTTTTGTATGGCTGAATAGTATTCCATTGTGTATGCATACCACATTTTCTTCATCCAACCATCCACTGATAGACATTTAGGTTGATCCCAAATCTTTGCTATTGTGAATAGTGCTGTGATGAACATATGAGTGACCTCTCCTTTCCTGGGTGGCAGGAGGAGGACCCTGTGCTGGCCGTCGTCACCTACGTGGGGCTGGGCCTCTCGCTGCTGTGCCTCCTGCTGGCAGCCCTCACCTTCCTGCTGTGCAGAGCCATCCAGAACACCAGCACCTCCCTGCACCTGCAGCTCTCGCTCTGCCTCTTCCTGGCCCACCTCCTCTTGCTGGGGCCGCGGGCGAGGAAGGGCCTGGGTCCCGGGCACAGCCTCCGCTGCTCGGCCCAGGCTTGGGTTCAGGGGAGCTGCTGTGGGCGCGTCACCTCCCCCCAAAAAATCAACCTTCTGGAGGCGGCATTGAGCCGCATGTCTGAGTGTCTGAATCGCTAGCTCACACCTGTGCCCACAGTCGGTGGCGACCTCCGGGCCGAGGCAGAAGGTGTTCTGCGCCTTCTGGGAGCGTGGCCAGAAGGGGTGTGGACACTGGGCCACCACAGGCTGCAGGACCGTGGACCCCGGAGACACCAGCACCACCTGCCGCTGCACCCACCTCAGCAGCTTCGCCGTCCTCTCTGGCCCCCTACGACGTCAGGTGAGGGTCCGCAGAGGAGCGGAGACAGGGGTGCTTGTGGCCTCGTGTGCCAGAAGAAGAGCTGTGCGAGAAGGGCCGGAGGGCCAGGAGAGCAGTTGTGTCCGTGGCACGTGCATTCTCCTCCCCTGGTGACTTTAGTGGGGCGATCGCAGGAATTGAAATTCGCTCAGGTGAGCACAGGTAATGGGGATCCGCATAAAAACCGGATGAGAAATTTTAGCCAAATGGCGAGCTCGGGGAACCCAGAGAAATTCCAACAACACCCAAGACAGTGTGTTTCCTTGTATCCCTTTGCTATAAGAATGCACTGTGCAAATTTTAGGGTTTTGTTTTTGGTTGGTTTCTTCGTTTTGGAGACAGGTCTCCCTCTGTCGCCCCAGCTACAGGGCAGTGGCACCATCACAGCTCGCTGCAACCTCAGACTCCTGCCACCCGCCCTCCTATAGAGTAGGGACAACAGCACATGCCATCACACCTGGCTAATTTTTCTATTCTGAGCAGAGATGGGGTGTCACTATGTTGCCCGGGCTGGTCTCGAACTCTGGCCTCGAGCAAATCCTCCGCCTCAGCCTCCAGAGTGCTGAGATTACAGGCGTGAGCCACTGGGCCCGGCACAGTTTTTTTTAATTTAAATTTTGAAGAGATATAATAGTCTCATAGTTCAAATTCAACCCATGTTCCCCAGTGATCAAGTTCCTTCTGAGATCAAATCTCATCTCAGTGTCTTCTGCCTCTTCTAGAGATAAATTATATATAAAACAGGTATCAATGGTGTTGCTATTCTCCTCCCTCTTACTTTAGTCGGGAATGGGGATCACTAGGAATAAGATGTCAATTTGCTTTGCCTTTGCATTCTTTTTATTTTTATTTTATTTTTACTTTACGTATTATGGGGGTACAAGTGTTAAGGTTACATATGTCGCCCAAGCCCCCTCCTCCCTTTCCTTTGGATTCAAGCCATTGTGTACCATATTCACTTTTTCTTTTTTTTTTGAGACAGAGTCTCGCTCTGTTGCCCGGGCTAGAGTGCATGGTGCCAGCCTAGCTCACAGCAACCTCAAACTCCTGGGCTCAAGCGATCCCTCCTGCCTCAGCCTCCCAAGTAGCTGGGACTACAGGCATGTGCCACACATGCCCGCTAATTTTTCTGTATATTTTAGTTGGCCAATTAATTTCTTCTATAATAGTAGAACGGGTCTCCCTCTGCTCAGGCTGGTTCAAACCTCTGATCTTGAGTGATCCACCTGCCTTGGCGTCCCAGAGTTGTAGATTACAATTCTATACCAGTACAATGGAATTTCAACTCTTTTTACTAACACAGTAGGTTCCATTTCATGGATGTTTCCTACATAAACAATTCCCTTAAGGGTGAACATTTTCTTTTCAATCTTTGGCTACCATAATGTTGCAATAACGTTACTGGATCAAATGTTGTAGATTTGATAGCTATCTCCACATTTAATACGTAAAAGTTGCATCATTTCTGTAGCTTCCCAATGAGTTTCTTTAATTTTTAATGTTTGGTAACTATACTGTTGTCTTGGCAAGTTCCCCCACCACACACCCCCTGTGCATAGTGTTCCTTTTAATGAATAAACTTCATTTTCTTTCATTTTTGAATATGTCTTGAAATATCTTTTATATTTGCTCTCTTCATTATATTGTTTCCTACATTTAAGCCCCCAATTATATGCTATTTGGGCTCCTTTGCCTAAATCCATACTTTTTTCCACATATATATATATATTTTTAGAGACAGAGTCTCACTTGTTGCCCAGGCTGGAGCGCAGTGGCATCATCATAGCTATTTCAACCTCAAACTCCAGGCTCAAGTGATCCTCCTGCCTTGGCCTCCCAGTAGCTGGGACTACAGTGCATACCACATGTCCGGCTAATTTTTTTATTGTAGAGACAGGGACTCACTCTTGCTCAGGCTGTTCTCGACACGCGCCCTCAAGCATTCTCCTGCCTTGGCCAACCACAAGTGCTAGGATTCCAGGCGTGACCACCACCCCAGCCTTTAATTTGTTTTTTGGGTTTTTTTTACCCCTTTCTTCATGTTAATTTAGCTTTGCTCCATTTTTTATTCTTATTTTCTATGTCCCTTAAACCATGTTTTAAACAGTCTGTTCTTTATATCACCTCCCTAAATTTTGCCTTCATTGCTGTAGATTTTTTTCCTTCCATTTATTACCAAGCTTTCCTAATACACTATTTCCAAGACTCTCTTCTCTGAAGTCTTCCATCTCTTCTCTTATCTCTTGCTTATTAAAGGTAAGTGCTTCCTTAATTTTTTGATTCAAGGTGAATAATGTCACGATTTTCATCTGCTCCACGTTGTTTTTCTTTTTTCTGTATAAATTTAGGTGGCACAAGTATAATTTTATTACATGAATTGATTGCATAATAGTGAAGTCAGAGCTTTTAGGGTATATATATAACCCAAATATGCACATTGTACTCTTTAAGGAATTTCTCAACATTTCTCTCTCCTCCCTCCCCCTTCCAAGTTTCCATTGTCTATCATGTTTCACACCTACATACATGTGCACACATATTTAGCTCCAACTTATAAGTGAGAACATGTGGTGTTTGTCTTTCTGTATCTGAGTTGTCTTAAGATAATGGATCTAGTTCCATCTCTGTTTGCTGCAAAAGACATGATTTCACTCTTTTTTTTTTTTTTTTTCGGCATATTATGGGGGTACAGATTTTAAGGTTTCAATAAATGCCCATTTCCCCCCGATTTCACTCTTTTTTTTATTTATTTATTTTAAAAAATTTCAGCATATTATAGGGGAACAAATGTTTAGGTTACATTAGGGTACATTGCCTTTGCCCCACCCAAACATGGCTTCAGCGTGTCCACCCCCAGACGGTGCACACCACACCCATTAGGTGGTATATATACCCATTCCCTTCTCCCCCTCCATCTGTCCAACACCTGATGAATGTTACACTACATGTGCCTTAAGTGTTGGTCAATTAAAACCACAATTTGCTGGTGAGCACATGTGGTGCTTGTTTTTCCATTCTTCGGGATACATCACTTAGTAGAATGGTCCCAGCTCCATCCAGGATAATACAGGGCTAGATCACACCACATGTTTTGTAGCTGAGCAGAATCCGATGGTACACATATACCGCATTTTATTAATCCACTCATGTATTGATGGGCACTTGGGTTTATGTAGGCATTTGTTTTCACGCCCCTGATATGAAGCTCACTTTATTTTTAAAAACTGCCAAACTCCTTTCAAAATGATTGTTACCTCACCAGCAGCGTAGGAGAGTTCAGTTGCTCCATTTTCCGACGCTTGGTATTATCAGTGTTTTTAAGCTTTGCCGTTCTAGTCTGTGTACTTCGAAAAGCACATTGTCTACCCTAGAGCGGGAAAGTATGGCTGTGAACTTTTCTCTTTTTTTTATTTTTTATACATTTTGGGGTACAAGTGTCATTTTGTTACATGGGTCACGTAACTTCTCATCTCCACCCCCTCCCACCTCCTCACCCTCCACGTCTCATTGTCTTACATTGCACACTCTATGCCTGTGTGTTCACATTATTTAGCTCCCACTTATATGTGAAGATATGCAGTATTTTTTTCTATGTCTGATTTGTTTCACTTAAGATATAGCCTCCCAGGCTTGTGCGGTGGCTCACGCCTGTAATCCTAGCACGGGCGGAATGCTCAAGGTCAGGAGTTCGAAACCAGCCTGAGCAAGAGGAGACCCAACCCCATGTCTACCAAAAATAGAAAGAAATTAATTGGCCAACTAAAAATATATAGAAAAAATTAGCCAGGCACGGTGGGCTGCGTAGTCCCAGCTACTCGGGAGGCTGAGGCAGGAGGATCGCTTGAGCCCAGGAGTTGGAGGTTGCTGTGAGCTAGGCTGAGCCACGGCACTCTAGCCAGGGCAACAGAGTAAGACTCTGTCTCAAAAAAAAAAAAAAAAAAAAAAGATAATAACCGTCGCATTTAATATATTATATTAATATAATATATATTATATATATATAAACAGGCAGATCCAGTGGCTCCGTGCCCCTGGGATCTGTAATCCCAGCACTTTGGGAAGACCAGGTATACATGTGTGTGCAAGTGTATGAACTCACATGTACATGCACACACGGGCACACATGCATGAGCACACGTGCATACATGCGTGCATGCAGACACACACACTCGCGTGTACACGCATGCATGTGCACATTCACAAAAGACAAGTGCACACGTGCACGCACTCGCACAGCAACGGTGCTCCCACCTGTTTTGCCTGCAGCAATTCCCTTCTCCTCGTGGACGCCTCCTCCTGGAGTCAACAGCCAGGTGAGTGAGCCCGAGCAAAGGAACGGGAAGGGGACGGACTTTCGCCAGCACCACCCTCTGCCTGACATGCCATCTCCTGTCTTCCCAGAGTCTCTCCCACTTCTTTGACAAAGTCCAGCAGTTGTCCCTGAACTTCACACCAGCCTCGGCCAACACCACCATCCAGGTAAAGTCGGAATCGAGAAAGAGGCAAAATTGGGAATCCCACAGAGACCTGGGTCCCTCTGGTACGGGTGGGGACAAAACCCCATGTAGCGGACACTGCGACTGGCCCCTCCACCAAGGGAGAGAGAAAGCTGGGACATTTGGGTATCTAAAAACACTCTTAAAGACACTCGGGTGAGGAGTAAGTTCCAGAGATCGATTGTGCATCATGGCAACTACAGTCAATAACAACAGACTGTGCATTTACAATTTACTAAGGGAGTAGATTTTAAGGGTTCTCATCATGCACACAAAAATAAACATGTGATGTCACACACATGTTGATTAGCTTGATTTAATCATTCCATAGTGTAGACACGCCTCAAAGCACCATAAACATATGGAATTTTTACTTGTCAATTTAAATAAATGAATGAATGCATAAACAAACAAGACACCCAGGCACACTAATTCATATTTCTTTCCCTATTGCCTGTGCTGGACTTTGGGTTTATGTCGTCTTTGGCATCCGTGACCCAGGTTGACTTCCAAGTGGCTGAGATCCAAGCTGCAAGGGCCACCCAAGGAACTTAAACCAGTGCCACTGTTAGCTTCCGAAGAGATAGTCTTTAGGCTCTGTTCTCTGTGGCTGAGTGGTAGGGTCTTCCTACAGCTCCTCTGGCCCCTTGTCCACTAGTTCTGTGTCCCCCAACCCCCCCAGGACCTCCTGCAGGAGGTGGACGAGCTGCTGGAGACCCCTGGGGACCTGGAGACCCTGCCCCGCTCACAGCAGCACTGTGTGGCCGGCCACCTGCTGGCAGGCCTGGAGGATGTCCTGAGGGGCTTGAGCAAGCCCCTGCCCGATGGACTGCTGACCTTCGATTACTCCGCAGGCACAGGTGCGCACCCGGGCGTGCCCCAGGCCCCTGCCCTGACCATCCACTGCCTGTCTCCTCCCCATCCCAAGAGCCGGTCCCATGAGAGCCAGGGACCACCCTCCAACCTCAGGACTCTATCGAAAAGAATTCAGAACTCATATAAGAAAAATAAAGCTCTACAAAACTAAATCCTTAATTTGTTTCAAGCACAAAAACTTATAAACCAAAACAGATATTAAAAATAAGCGTACACAGCTGGGCACGGTGGTTCATGCCTATAATCCCAGCACTTTGGGAGGTCGAGGCAGAAGGATCGCTTGCGGCCAGGAGTTTGAGCTGCAATGAGCTACGATGATGTCACTGCACTCTAGCTTTGGCGACGGAGCAAGACCCTGTCTCAAAAACAATGCCCAAACAATAGTATTAAATCAGCCGCATTTCTCATTTCAGTTCTTAAAATTTGCGTGGTTGACTACTATGCCAAAACAGTCTAATCCCAGTATTACAGGCAATAACCTAACTTCTGCCATCTCTCACCTCTCCCCTCCCGCCACAGAACTCTTCCTGGAGGTACAGGCGCGAGGGGTCCGGGACGTCACCTTGGGCAAGAGTTACGCAAAGATGCAGCTCAACTGGGATGTGGCCCAGGAGTCCGGTGACTTGGGTAATGATGAGATGGCTTGGGGGAAAGCCACAGATGCCTTAAGGTATAACAAGACAGCCAGGGAGGTGACACGCGGAGAATGAAAGATTAAAGGAAAGTGTGCAATGGATGGGGCCAAAAGAGGCTAGTGCGTCTGAGTAGGAAACTCTATGGGGGAAGGGAGCCCGGATGGGGACCCCAAGATTCAGCCTGCTCTGAGACTGGCCCTTGGCTTGGTCCGGCAGGCCCTTCCGTGGTGGGCCTGGTGTCCACTCCAGGGGTGGGCAGGTTGCTGGCGGGGGCACCCCTCGTCCTGGAGCCTGAAACGCAGGCGGCTCTGCACGAAGCACACAAGGGCTGGCTGCAGGACGGTGCCCCCGTCCTGCTCTCGGATGTCACCTCTGTCTTTCTGAGCGACAAGGCCACACAGAGCCTCAACGTCCAGGCGACCTTCACATTCCTCCACCGCGTGAGTGCTGGCGGGCTGGGGCCGCGGGCGAGGAAGGGGCCTGGGTCCCGGGCACAGCCTCGCTGCTTGGCCCAGGCTTGGGGTTCAGGGGAGCTGCTGTGGGCGCGTCACCTCCCCCCCAAAAAATCAACCCTTCTGGAGGCGGCATTGAGCCAGCATGTCTGAGTGTCTGAATCACTAGCTCACACCTGTGCCCACAGTCGGTGGCGACCTCCGGGCCGAGGCAGAAGGTGTTCTGCGCCTTCTGGGAGCGTGGCCAGAAGGGGTGTGGACACTGGGCCACCACAGGCTGCAGGACCGTGGACCCCGGAGACACCAGCACCACCTGCCGCTGCACCCACCTCAGCAGCTTCGCCGTCCTCCTGGCCCCCTACGGCGTGCAGGTGAGGGTCCACAGGGGAGGCCGGAGACAGGGGTGCTTGTGGCCTCAGTGGCCAGAAAGGAAGAGCTGTGCGGAGAAGGGCCGGAGGGGCCAGGAAGAGCAGTTGTGTCCGTGGCCGTGCCATTCTCCTCCCCTGGTGACTTTAGTGGGGCGATCGCTAGGAATTGAAATTCGCTCAGGTGAGCACAGGTAATGGGGGTCCGCATAAAAACCGGGATGAGAACTATTTTAGCCAAATGGCGAGGCCTCGGGGGAACCCAGAGAAATTCCAACAACACCCCAAGACAGTGTGTTTCCTTGTATCCCTTTGCTATAGAATGCACTGTGCAAATTTTGGGGTTTTGCTTTTGGTTGGTTTCTTCGTTTTGAGACAGGGTCTCCCTCTGTCGCCCCAGCTACAGGGCAGTGGCACCATCACAGCTCGCTGCAACCTCAGACTCCTGCCACCCCACCCTCCTGAGTAGCGGGGACAACAGACACATGCCATGACACCTGGCTAATTTTTCTATTCTGAGCAGAGATGGGGTGTCACTATGTTGCCCGGGCTGGTCTCGAACTCCTGGCCTCGAGCAATCCTCCCGCCTCAGCCTCCCAGAGTGCTGAGATTACAGGCGTGAGCCACTGGGCCCGGCCACAGGTTTTTTTTAATTTAAATTTTTGAAGAGATATAATAGTCTCACAGTTCAAATTTCAACCCATGTTCCCCAGTGATCAAGTTCCTTCTGAGATCAAATCTCATCTCAGTGTGTTCTGCCTCTTCTAGAGATAAATTATATATAAACAGGTATCAATGGTGTTGCTATTCTCCTCCCCTCGTTACTTTAGTCGGGGAATGGGGATCACTAGGAATAAGATGTCAATTTGCTTTCCCTTTGCATTCTTTTTATTTTATTTTCTTTTTACTTTAGCGTATTATGGGGGTACAAGTGTTAAGGTTACATATGTCGCCCAAGCCCCCCTCCTCCCTTTCCCTTTGGATTCAAGCCATTGTGTACCATATTCACTTTTTTTTTTTTGAGACAGAGTCCCGCTCTGTTGCCCGGGCTAGAGTGCATGGTGCCAGCCTAGCTCACAGCAACCTCAAACTCCTGGGCTCAAGCGATCCTCCTGCCTCAGCCTCCCGAGTAGCTGGGACTACAGGCATGTGCCACCATGCCCGGCTAATTTTTTCTGTATATTTTTAGTTGGCCAATTAATTTCTTTCTATATATAGTAGAGACGGGGGTCTCCCTCTTGCTCAGGCTGGTTTCGAACTCCTGATCTTGAGTGATCCACCTGCCTTGGCGTCCCAGAGTTGTAGGATTACAATTCTATACCAGTACATAGAGAACTTTCTAACTCTTTTTTACCTAACACAGTAGGATTCCATTTAATGGATGTTTCCTACATAAACAATTCCCTTAAGGGTGAACATTTTCTTTTCAATCTTTGGCTACCATAATGTTGCAATAACGTTCCTGGATCAAATTTGTAGTGATTTTGATAGCTATCTCCACATTTCAATACGTAAAAGTTGCAATCATTTCTGTAGCTTCCCAATGAGTTTCTTTAATTTTTAATGTTTGGTAACTATACTGTTGTTCTTGGCAAGTTCCCCCACCCACCACCCCCCTGTGCATAGTGTTCCTTTTAATTGTATAAACTTAACTTTTCTTTCATTTTTGAAAATATGTCTTGAAATCTATCTTTTAATATTTGCTCTCTTCATTAATTTGTTTTCCTACATTTAAGCCCCCAATTATATGCATATTTGGGCTTCCCTTTGCCTAATACCCATATTTTTTTCCACATATATATATATTTTTTTGAGACAGAGTCTCACTCTGTTGCCCAGGCTGGAGCGAAGTGGCATCATCATAGCTCACTTCAACCTCAAACTCCCAGGCTCAAGTGATCCTCCTGCCTTGGCCTCCCCAGTAGCTGGGACTACAGTGCACACCACCATGCCCGGCTAATTTTTCTATTTTTAGTAGAGACAGGGACTCACTCTTGCTCAGGCTGGTCTCGAACTCCCGGCCTCAAGCAATTCTCCTGCCTTGGCCAACCACAGTGCTAGGATTCCAGGCGTGACTCACCACACCCAGCCTTTAATTTTGTTTTTTATCTCTTTCTTCATGTTAATTTAACTTTGCTCATTTTTTATTCTTATTTTCTATGTCCCTTAAACCATGTTTTAAACAGTCTGTTCTTTATATCACCTCCCTAAATTTTGCCTTCATTGCTGTAGAGTTTTTTCCTTCCATTTATTTACCAAGCTTTTCTAATACACTATTTCCAAGACCTCTCTTCTCTGAGGTCTTCCGTCTCTTCTCTTATCTCTTGCTTATAAAGGTAAGTGCCTCCTTACATTTTTTGATTCAAGGTGAATAATGTCACGATTTTCATCTGCTCCACGTTGTTTTTCTTTTTTCTGGTAGAAATTTCGGTGGCACAAGTATAATTTTATTACATGAATTGATTGCATAATAGTGAAGTCAGAGCTTTTAGGGTATATATATATAACCCAAATAATGCACATTGTACTCTTTAAGGAATTTCTCAACATTTCCCTCTCCATCCCTCCCCCTTCCAAGTTTCCATTGTCTATCATGTTTCACACTCTACATACATGTGCACACATATTTAGCTCCAACTTATAAGTGAGAACATGTGGTGTTTGTCTTTCTGTATCTGAGTTGTCTTAAGATAATGGCCTCTAGTTCCATCTCTGTTGCTGCAAAAGACATGATTTCACTCTTTTTTTTTTTTTTATTTCGGCATATTATGGGGGTACAGATTTTAAGGTTTCAATAAATGCCCATTCCCCCCCCATTTCACTTTTTTATTTACTTTTATTTTTTAAAAATTTCAGCATATTATAGGGGGACAAATGTTTAGGTTACATTAGGGTACATTGCCTTTGCCCCACCCGAATCATGGCTTCAAGCGTGTCCACCCCCCAGACGGTGCACACCACACCCATTAGGTGTGTATATACCCATTCCCTTCTCCCCCCCCTCCATCTGTCCAACACCTGATGAATGTTACCACTACATGTGCACTTAAGTGTTGATCAATTAAAACCAATTTGCTGGTGAGCACATGTGGTGCTTGTTTTTCCATTCTTGGGATACATCACTTAGTAGAATGGGTCCCAGCTCCATCCAGGATAACACAAGGGGTGCTAGATCACCACCATGTTTTGTAGCTGAGCAGAATCCATGGTACACATATACCGCATTTTATTAATCCGCTCATGTATTGATGGGCACTTGGGTTTATGTAGGCATTTGTTTTCACGCCCCTTGATATGAATGCTCAACTTTATTTTTAAAAACTGCCAAACTCCTTTCAAAATGATTGTTACCTCACCCAGCAGCGTAGGAGAGTTCCAGTTGCTCCATTTTGCCGACGCTTGGTATTATCAGTGTTTTTAAGCTTCGCCGTTCTAGTCTATGTACTTCGAAAAGCACAATTCTACCCTAGAGCGAGAAAGTATGGCTGTGAACTTTTCTCTTTTTTTTTTTTATTTTTATACATTTATGGGGTACAAGTGTCATTTTGTTACATGGTCTCGTAACTTCTCATCTCCACCCCCTCCCACCTCCTCACCCTTCCACGTCTCAATTGTCTATCATTGCACACTCTATGCCTGTGTGTTCACATTATTTAGCTCCCACTTATATGTGAGAATATGCAGTATTTTTTTCTATGTCTGATTTGTTTCACTTAAGATAATAGCCTCCAGGCTCGGTGCGGTGGCTCACGCCTGTAATCCTAGCACGGGCGGAATGCTCAAGGTCAGGAGTTCGAAACCAGCCTGAGCAAGAGGGAGACGCCCATGTCTACCAAAAATAGAAAGAAATTAATTGGCCAACTAAAAATATATAGAAAAAATTAGCCAGGCACGGTGGTGCATGCCTGTAGTCCCAGTTACTCGGGAGGCTGAGGCAGGAGGATCGCTTGAGCCCAGGAGTTGGAGGTTGCTGTGAGCTAGGCTGATGCCATGGCAACTCTAGCAGGCAAACCGGTACGACGTACTGCTCCAAAAAAAAAAAAAAAAAGATAATAACTCCATTTCCACCTATGTGGCTGCAAAATACATGCTTTCATTCTTTTGTATGGCTGAATAGTATCCATTGTGTATGCATACCACATTTTCTCATCCAAACCTCCACTGATGGACATTTAGGTTGATCCCAAATCTTTGCTATTGTGAATAGTGCTGTGATGAACATATGAGTGACCTCTCCTTTCCTGGGTGGCAGGAGGAGGACCCTGTGCTGGCCGTCGTCACCTACGTGGGGCTGGCCTCTCGCTGCTGTGCCTCCTCCTGGCAGCCTCACCTTCCTGCTGTGCAGAGCCATCCAGAACACCAGCACCTCCCTGCACCTGCAGCTCTCGCTCTGCCTCTTCCTGGCCCACCTCCTCTTCCTCACGGCCATCGACCGGACGGAGCCCCGGGTACTGGCGGTGGCCCAGAGGACTCCCTCCTGTGCCCCAGGGAATGCGGAGCTCACGGAGCAATGCTGCTCCATGACATTGGGACCCCAAGGGAAGTGGCCACTCTGGGCACCTATCCTTTCTTATCAGATAAGGATGAAGCAAGAGGGAAGTCCTAGCAGAGTCCTCTCGTACAGAAACCCTCTGGTGGCTCCTCTCCCCCAGGCGCTGTGTGCCCTCGTCGCTGGCGCCCTGCACTACCTCTACCTGGCCGCCTTCGCCTGGATGCTGCTGGAGGGCCTGCACCTGTGCCTCGCCGCGCGCAACCTGACCGTCGCCAACTACGCGCGCGTGAACAGATGCGTGGGGAAGCTCATGTTCCCCGTGGGCTACGGCGGCCCCGCCGTGATCGTGGCCATCTCTGCAGCGTGTCACCCTCACCTTTATGGGACCCCTGCCCGGTAAATGCCAATTCCCCCCATCCCCGTCTCCTCCAGCAAGTCCACGGCCAGCACCAGATCCAACGCGGCACTCTCATTGCACCAGAATGTGACACGCAGAGAAAATCTCCCTTACCACTCCAGCCTCTTCCCAGTGGAAGGCTGGTTTTGTAAAATTGATGTATATAAATATATTATATATATATTATATATATATATATATATATTTTCTTTCTTTTTTTTTTTGAGACAGAGTCTCACTCTGTTGCGGGCTAGAGTGCCGTGGCGTCAGCCTAGCTCCAGAACCTCAACTCCTGGTTCAAGGATCCTCCTGCCTCAGCCTCCCGAGAAGCTGGGACTACAGGCGTGCGCCACCTGTCGGCTAAATTTTATATATTTTTAGTTGGCCAATTAATTTCTTTCTATTTATAGTAGAGACGGGGTTTTGCTCTTGCTCAGGCTGGTTTCAAACTTCTGACCTCGAGCCATCCGCCCGCCTCGGCCTCCCAGAGTGCCAGGATTGCAGGTGTGAGCCACCACGCCTGGCCTAATATATATATATATATAATATATACATATATATATATATATTTACATTTATTTCAGAATATTACAATGGTACAAATGTTTTGGTTGCCTATTTGTTTTAGTACCATTGGAGTCAAAATTATAAGTGTGTCCATCCCCCAGATAGTGTGCTTTGTACCTGTTTGGTGTGAATTTACCATCCCCCCCCCCACCTGTTGGATTGATTTCCAATGAATGTCATTTCCAAATGTGCATATAAGTGTTGATTGATTAGATCCTATTTAATGGTGAGTACATGTGGTGTTTGTTTTTAATTCTTAAAGATTTAAAAAATAAGTTACCCTAATTAATACATGAGTGGAAGACTCTGTTAATTTGGGGTGACTGTTTTTAAATCTTTAAGACTTAATTATTTTAAATGTTAATTATATATTATGTTATGATTTATGAATACAGTGTGGAATAATTAAATCAAGATAATTATCATGTATATCACCTCAAATACTTATCATTTTGGGGAAGAACATTTGAAATTTACTCTCTTAGCAATTTTTAAATGTACAAAACACTGTTATTAACTATTCACCACACTGTGCGATAGATCTCAAGAAAAACCTTATTTCTCCTGTGGAACATAGATTTTGTATCTTTTAAACATCATCTCTCCAGCCCCATCTCCTCCCAGCCTCTATAAACACCACTCTGCTCTCCACTTCTACGAGTTTGATTGTTTTAGATTCCAAACATAGGTAAGAACCTGTGGCATTTGTCCTTCTGTGCCTGGCTTATTTTAGGGAGCATGATGTTCCATCCATGTTGCTGCAAATGACAGGATTTCCTTCTGTTTACAAGCTGAATCATATTCCGTTGTGAGGCCAGGCGCGGTGGCTCACACCTGTAATCCTAGCACTCTGGGAGGCCAAGGTGGGAGGTTTGCTTGAAGTCAGGAGGCTGAGACCAGCCTGAGCAAGAGCAAGACCCCATCTCTACTAAAAATAGAAAAATGAGCCAGGCACGGTGGCACCTGCCTGTAGTCTCAGCTACTCAGGAGGCTGAGGCAGGAGGATGGCTTGAGCCCCAACAAGAATTCCATTGTGTGTCTGCACCACATTTTCCTTATCCATTCATCTGCTGATGGACACTTAGGTTGATTCCATATCCTGGCTATTGGGAATAGTGTCACAATGGACACGGGGGTGCACACTTCTCTTTGACAAACAGATTTCAAATCGTTCGGGTATACAGGCCGATATATTCTTGAATCTCTTTCCATCTCTCTCTCTTAGGTGCTGGCTCCACACACACAAAGGATTTATATGGACCTTCCTTGGACCTGTCTGCACCATCTTCTCTGTGAGTGACAGATGACAGAACATCCTTACCTAGCCGAGAGTCATCCAAAGAGCAGGTGTATAAAGAGGGTCACAGGCAGGGTGACCAATCGGCCCTGTTTTCCCAGAAAAGCAAAGATTCCCAAGATGCTGGAACTTCAGCTTTCGCCCCGAGACTGAGGGATTTCGTGGAATGTGGGACATTTCATGCTAAAATGGGGGAAATTCCATGAAAAGTGGGACGAGTTGGTCGTCCTAGTTACAGAGCAAGAATGTGCCTGAGTTACCGGGTACTTGGTCTTGTTTTCTGTGACATCTGTAAAATACAAAATCTCGTTACATGCTGGGTTAGACGTTGGATGGGCTAGGAAGAAGGTTTTTGCTGATGTGGAATTTGTTCTACATGCTCTGCCGGGTTTCTGCAGATTAATTTGGTTTTGTTTCTGGTGACCTTCTGGATCGTGAGAAAAAAGCTCTCCTCACTCAACAGCGATCTCTCCACCCTCCAGAAGACAAGGTGAGACGAGCAGAGGGTCCATACCATCCCCCAGCAAGCAAAGCATGTTCCAGGAGCAAAGCCACACAGACCCAAGTTCCCGATGTCCTTTGACATGGGCGGATTCTAAGGGGACCCGCAGGAGAGGGTGCAGGCACACCTCCTTGGCGGCCAGCTCTGATGCTGTGGTTTGCTACTGACATGCAAGCCAGAGACAAGCCATCCACGCATGACACCAGCGTGAGTGAGACTCTCTCGGCTACAGAGAACGACATTTGTAGCCCTGTGACAAATATCCAAAGAACACTTGTATCTTTATGAAACACTTGGGACATCACATAACTGCCCTCAGAACCTCTGTGCCTTTGCATGTCCAGCAACTTAACTTCGGGCAAACTCTTCCTTCTGCCCCCTGGCTCTCCTTCTCCGGGTGAAATCGGCTTTCCTATCCACATGAGACATCTTCTGCGAGACTGGGGATGTGCTTTGCTTTCTCCAACTTCACACAAACAAATGGCCTCTCTCCTGGGCAAGCATGCTCTAGACCACTTCACGGAGGGAGAGAGAGGGAGGACAGGAACAGCCCCAGATGGGAGCCAGGCAGTGCACTTGGCAAATATCCTAAGTGGCTTTTCTTGTCTTTCCACTAAGCTGTAAGGTCTGTGAAAACGGAAGTCTTGTCTCCGTTATTTGTAATGCCCAGGCTCCAGCCCAAGGCCAGGTGCAGGCTACGTGCCCAGTAATGCTAGTTAAACGAAATTAGGGACCTTCATGGAGCATCATAAGACTTTTGAGATGTGCATTATGAAGTGTGACTGTCTTCCTTAGATAAAATGCCACCCTGGACCCAAGTGGCGTTTGTACTGTGGGGTATCACAGACAGTCCACACTTCAGTCTCAGAAATCACCCACAGGCGAGAGCGTGGCACCCACAGACGGAGGTGAGAGTAGCCTTCATTCTGTTCCTCTGGGTGTATCGCGGGCCTCCTTTCTCATCCACCCCAGGATGCTCACATTTAAAGCGACGGCTCAGCTCTGCATCCTGGGCTGCACGTGGTGTCTGGGCACGCTGCAGGTGGGCCCAGCTGCGCGGGTGATGGCCTACCTCTTCACCATCATCAACTCGCTGCAGGGCGTCCTCATCTTCCTGGTGTACTGCCTCCTCAGCCAGCAGGTACCCCTGCCCCGCTCCCACCCGGGACCGTTCCTGCCCTCGCCCCTCTCAGCGAGCTGACCCAAAGCACGATTTCCTTTGCAGGTCCGGGAGCAGTACAGGAAGTGGTTCAAAAAGATCAGGAAATCGAGAGCTGGGTCTGACATGTACACGATCTCTAGCAAGGCTGGGTCCGACACCTCCAGACCCAGCACGGTAAGATTGTGTATTGCTCCCCGAGCACGTCGCTACCTGGTCCACTGGACAACCTGGGTGTGTGGCAGGTGACACTCTAGGATGGCTCAGACTTGGACCAATCATGGACTCTTTAACCATTAACAATGGTGTCGGTTTAAATGTTTGCTTAAAAAATTTCCTTTACTCTTATTCCTTAGGGAACTGCACTCGTCTTGACTCTTACCCATGAATACTCTTACTGAATATCTACTATGTGCCATGCATGGGTAACTAAATAAGCAGGAATCGATGAACCGAAGCAGCGATGTGCAATGTACTCAGAGACGAGTTATAGTGCTCTCTTCTGCTTTAGATCACTGTGTGTCTGTACCTAACTTGACCTTCGCACATGACTATCCCCTCGTGTTGAGCACACGCCTTGAGTGAAACATCGTGCGTGTGCTTTTTCTTTCATTGGAAGAAACAAAACACTCAAAAGCAGTAGAAGATATTCTAGTGAGCTACACAAGCAGGAGTTAATGATCCACCAGCTGCTAAGGGTCACAATGCCATCCTTACCCTAGAAGTCATTCAATGTCACCCCCTAAATGAAGAACAATAAAACATGGTATATTTATTATATATACATCTATCCATCTACATATACACACACACACACTCATAAAAGTGAAGCAAAATGAGTACTAAGTTGGATTTGAGAATTCCCTTAAAACTCTGCAACAGTCCCTGGTATTTTCAGCGTGCACAAACACCACAAAACCAGGGAAGAAAATCCCAGAGGGCATAGGAGAAACCCCAGCAATATGGACCACACCCAGCATTTGTAGGTTCAGGTTTACAAAACCTTTTCTCATATTCTTGGTTCACATGCTGTTCACTTCGGCACTTGGAGAAAATTATGATTATGTGTCCATCTGATAGGTCAAGAAAGTGAGATTCGTGAGGTTTGCATGGATTATTCGTTCTTCCTGCCAGCTTCGGTGGGAAAACCTTCTCGTCAAAAGCCTTCTGCTTTTCTCTCATCCACCTGCCATCCACCCTCTGCAACGGCCCCTTCCAACATTCTCCACTCTTGAAATGCCTCGTTCTTCTCTCTTTCTCCTCCTTCCCAGTAAATGTTCCTACCAGCGTCTTCACAGAGAAAACACAGTCAGCAGCACAAAACAGGGTCAACGTTGTGTTCTAGAAAACACTAGCCAGTGGGCATCTGGTTTATTCTCTCCTGCTTCTGTCTTGTTGTCATAGGTAGACAACATGAGCTTCATGCTTTTGAGAATAATCCTTCCACCTGCACTTTGTTTCCAATCCCCCTACCTTCTCAGTTACTTTATGTATTGCCCATATATGCTGTCTCTGGTATACTCAGTCTTGCTCTCTCTCCCAGTTCTTTGCACCTTTGTTGACATATACTACGTCTCATACTTATTAGAAAAGTTTTATTTTGTATTTGAATCCCTCCCTCTTACTCATCTACACACTCAAACCCAGCTCTCACACCCATCATTCATTCCACCAAAGTAGCTCTCTCTTAGGCTCCAGTGACCTTCGTATCACTGGGTAAAATAAATATCTTTTGGTCTATTTAGCAATGCTTAATGCTGTGGTTACTATTTGCATCTTGAAACGCTCCTCTTTTCTCCCAGGTTTCTATGGATCAACATCTAAAACCACAATGAGATATCACTTATCTCCAGTGAGAATGGCCTGTATCAAAAAGTTCCAAAACAATAAATGTTGGAGTGGATGCAGAGAAATGGGAACACTCCTACACTGCCGGTGGGACTGCAAACTAGTGCAACCTCTGTAGAAAGATGGAGATACCTTAAAGCGATACAAGTAGATCTACCATTTGATCCAGCAATCCCATAACTGGGCATCTACCCAAAAGAACAAAAGACACCTGCACCTGAATGTCTATAGCAGCACAATTCACAATTGCAAACAGGTGGAAACAACACAAGTGCCCATCAATACATGAGTGGATTAATAAAATGTGGTCTATGTATATCATGGAGTTCTACTCAAGGATAAAAAATGTTGAACTAATATCCTTTTTATTAACCTGGGTGGAACTGGACCCCATTCTTCTAAGCGAAGTATCACAAGAATGGAAAAACAAGCACTAGATGTACTCACTATTAAATCAGAACCAATCGATCAACAGTTATGGGCACCTATGGAAATAACATTCATGGGAAATACAGCGGGGTGGGCAGAAGGGGATGAGTAAATCCATACCTAACAGGTACACTGCACACTATCTGGGGGATGGGCACACTTTGATTTAAATGACACAAAAGCAATTTATGTAACCAAAATACTTGTATCCCTATAATATAGTGGTGGAGAAAAAAAAGCAGAGATATCAAAAAAATGTATACACATAAAAACAGAAGTAGTCAAAATATTAGCTGAAGGAGGTCAGGTTTTCTGGTTCTTAGTATCGTGCACGTTGCTACTCATGAGAGGCCTTGGGTAATTCATTGAGAGCCGTTGACTAGCCAACGAGTCTCCCCAGGGATCCCTTCATGTCCCTGTTCTTCAGGCTGTAGATGAAGGGGTTCAGCATGGGGGTGACCATGGTGTACATCACCGAGGCCATCAGACTTGTCCTAGAGGATGGCGTGGCTGCAGAGCTGAGGTAGACCCCAAGCCCCGTGCCATAGAACAAGGAAACCACAGAGAGGTGAGACCCACAGGTGGAAAAGGCTTTGTTCTTGCCCCTGGCCGATGAAATTCTTAGGATAGAGGAGAAAATCCGAGCATAAGAGAAGAAGATTCCAGAGAGAGGACAAACAGCCAGGACGATGGTCACAAAATACACCACTATGTTATTAACAAGGGTGTCAGAACAGGCAAGCTTCAGGACTTCGGGAAGATCACAAAAAAAATGTGGGATTTCCATGTTTGTGCAGAAGGACAGCTTCAAAACGGGCAAGGTCTCGAGCAGGGAGCCCACGACGCTGATGCCCCAGGACCCCTGAGCCAGCAGCCCACAGAGCCGGGGGCTCATGATGCCCGTGTAGTGCAGGGGGTGACAGATGGCCACGAAGCGGTCATAGGCCATCGCAGTCAGGAGTAAATTGTCCAGGCATCCAAACACAATGAAAAAGTACATCTGGGTGACGCAGCCCGAGTACGAGATGGCTTTGCTCCGTGTCTCCATGTTCACCAGCATCTTGGGGACAGTGGTGGAGACAAAACAGATGTCGGCAAAGGACAGGTTGGAGAGGAAGAAGTACATGGGGGTGTGCAGGTGGGCGTCTGAGATTGTGGCCAGGATGATGAGCAGGTTCCCAAACACAGTGACCAGGTACATGGACAGGAACAGCCCAAACAGGACCGGCTGCAAGTCAGAGTCCTCTACGAATCCCAGGAGGAGGAAGTTTCCAACTCTTGTCTGGTTTCTTTTTTCCATGGGGCTGCTGAGTTTGTCCAGAAGAAGAGAGAGAGAGAAAAAAAACCCAAAGCAACACAAAATTCGTGCCACATAGGCATTCCCCAGAATGACTGCAATATCCTTTATTCAAACCCGGGGAACTCAAGACGTTATGCATTTTGGCTAATCGTTGGATCTCTTTGCCCAAAGCTGCAGTTACCATTGCTACCTGGAAAAATTGTCTCTAGCTCAGTGGTTCTCAAAATACTACCCCCTATGGAAATGGCTCTTTAAAATGTACCTGTTTTGGATATTTACTTACTTTCTAAGTTTTCTTAAAAACAAATACAGCTTGGATTAATTTAAATTTTATATTTTCTTCTCTTAGGATCATCTGTAAATGGTCTTTCTCAGTGTTTAAAAATTTAGGTATTTCCTTAATTTTTTAATTTTTTTTTTAAAAAAGTATATGTGTTTAATGATTAGTTAGCTATTTAGAAAAAGAATGTTAAATTCTATCTCTATATTCCCAAGTAAATTTTGAATTTTAAATATGGAAAAAGAAACTACATAAGCTATCTGAAGAAAACATATATATATATATATATATATATATATATAGAGAGAGAGAGAGAGAGAGAGAGATAATACAAATTTATACATGTAGAGGTATAATCTTTGAAAGTAGAAGTTCTCTCTGATTAAAATGTCTTCAGTAGAAATAAGAGAAGCAAAGATCAGTAATTGGAACCACAAATTGAAAAATTCTGACTGAGAAAATATGCCATGCAGAAAATGGAATACACAAATAGTCTATTTGACGAACGTTAATATCTCTAATCTGTAAAGACTTCATTATGAATCATAGAAAGATCAATGCATTTCTGGGGAAAAGGAAGAGGGTATTAAAGATTCATAAGACAAAATGTAAAAAGAGTAATAAATATTTGAGAAAATTTTCATTCTTACTATGAATCTATAAAAATGAAATAAAAAATAACTTTTTTTACTGAGGGAATTAAAAAGTCCTTTGTAAAAAAGAATAAGAATGGAAAATTCCATCATATGGAAAGAGAAATAACATTTCAGATACTACTATGAAAAGATACTTGATCTCCTTTTCTGGACTAGAAGAATTAAATCAGCATATAGATCTTGTGTAATTACACATATATTTGCACAGAAAAATTGTCTACAATATACACCAAAATATGAACAAAGGTTATCTTTGAGTGGTAACGTCAATCTTGATTTTTAGATTCATTTTCTAGTATATTGTTCAAAAGTTTCAAATAAATATATATGTAGTCTATCTTCAAGAAATAAAAATTTTTAAATTTGAAGATACTGGTAATAAAAATTTCACAAAGTGAGCCTAGTTCAAACAGAAAGTAACGGTTAATAAAAATAAAAGGCCAGGCATAGTGGTTCATGCCTGTAATCCCAGCTTTGTGGGAAGTTGAGGTGGGAGAGACCCCATCTCTACAAAAAATAAATTAGTCAGACCAGTGGTGCGCACCTGTAATCCGAGCTACTCTGGAGGCTGAGGCAGGAGGATCACTTGAGCCGAGAAGTTTGAGGTTATAGTGAGACGTGATTGTGCCACTGCGCTCCAGCCTGGATGACAGAGCAAGACTGCATTTCTTAAGAAAAAAAAAAAAGATAAAAACAGAGTTTAATGCAGTAAAAGGAAGAAAGATTCTAGAACTGAAAAACAAATTCCACAGTTAATTCTTTGCCGAACGAATAAAAAAAATTAGACATCTAAGGAAAGGGATAAAAAGAGAGAACAAAAATGCCTAGAATTAGGAATGAGAAAAATGAACACAGAATTAAGGAAGTACTCAGCTTTGCAAGAAAATGTTACCTATAACTCCATGTTAAAAATATGAAAATCTCCAAGAAATTAATTTAATTTCTGGGAAACTATGTGTCCAAAGTTGATCCAGGATGGAACCTAACAGATCAAAAACCAAGGAAGGAATTTTAAAAAACAACAAAACTTACCTCCAAAAATTCCCTGGTGAGGCTCTCTGGTAGATACAATAGCAGAATTATCCTTTAAGTATTAAAAAAGAAGTGTCTCATTATTAATTATTTATCAGTGCCCTGGAACCAATTAATGCAGTACAAGGAAAAAAAGAAATAAAAGACCTTGGTATTGAAAACGTAGGGTATCATTATTTTAAGATGACAGCTTGGCTGCGGGTGATGGATTGGTAGCTGAAAATGTATTTTAACTAAACATGATATTAATAAGGCAGCTGATACCAAACACATATGTAAAAAGAAAGCAGTAGCCATTCTAAGGTGGTGTTTGGTGGATAGAGCATATCCAGGATGTTTTACAACTTTTGCTTCTACCTGATTCCTAACATTTTCATCACTACGACAACTGTCTCTGTAACTTTTCTGTCACTCTAAATTATCTAAAAATAAAAAGTAACAGAAAACATGGCTACAAGAGAGAATAAAAGTAGCATTTGTGTGTACAGATCTCAATCATTTCAAATATTAACAAAAATTAAAAAAAAAAACCTCCAGCTAGGTGTGAATGTACCTATCCCCTCCTCCCCCGTCAAACTGTACGGTTGTACCTATGAAGTTGGATGTCACTATTACCCTCACTTTACAAAGGTGGAGACAGAGACATTAAGTAAACTAATGTCAGGAGACGTACGCAATGGGCTTCTCAGTCCTAACCACATGGAACCCCAGGGAATGTTTCTTGAGTGAATGAATGGATGAATGAATGAATGAATTGGCTTCAGAATTGGTCCTCAGAATTGGGTTCCAGAAGAGAGAAAGGGAAAGCAAGCCAAGAGGAAGCCAAGAGGAAAAGAAGATGAGAGAGATACAGGAATTGATGAGAATGCTTTAAGTGAGTGGATGTTAGCATCACGTTACCCGCACTTGTCCTGCCAAAGTTCTTCCTTTGAGAGCTCTGCCTGCCCCATACCTGTTTTCCACACTAGGTGCTCCAGGGGCATTGCTGAGGTTCTAGTTCCCTCGGTCCTTTCCTTCCTGGGTAAGGTAAGATTCGATTCAGCTTTGAGGAAGGGCAGGGAGTTGGTGGCAGGCGTCCTCTGCAAGGGTCCCGGAACAGTTGAGCTGCAGGAAAGTGGAGAAAGGGAATATTTACAATTGCTGAGGCCTCAGAGGTTGAATTCTCATGGATGCCCATTAAATTAATTGTCCCATTGTTACTCTAGTCTCTGAGCAATTTGGTTCCCATGAACGAGGGAACCAAAATAGAAAGGAACTTCTTTTCTGCTAGTTTTGGATCCTTGGGAGCATCTTGGGTACCAGATATGTGCGTTCCTTCTCCTGGGGCTCTTTGTTTATGATGTTCTTTTCTCCCTGGGTCTGCCTCCCTTGCTCATTGGACTCTCCCATGAATGTTTGCTCAACATTTAAGATGGGATTTCTTGGTCAGGCCCGGTGGCTCACGCCTGTAATCCTAGCACTCTGGGAGGACCAGGCAAGAGGATCGCTTGAGGTCAGGAGTTCAAGACCAGCCTGAGCAAGAGCAAGACCTCATTTGTACTAGAAATAAAAACAATTAGTCAGGTGACTAAAAATAGAAAAAAATTAGCTGAACATGGTGGCACACACCTGTAGTCCCAGCTACTCAGGAGGCTGAGGCAGGAGGATTTCTTGAGCTCAGGAGTTTGAGGTTGCTGTGAGCTAGGCTGATGCCAAGGCACTCTACCCAGGGGAACACAGTGAGACTCTGTCTCAAAGAAAAAAAAAATGGAATTTCTTTGTCTATCAAAGGCATGAACACACATTTCAAGACAATCTGAGTCCTGAGCACCTTAATTTGGAGTTGTGGACAGGGACCACATAACCAGCTCCGAACAAAACCATTGCAATGACTTTGCCACAAGTTCTATTATTGCTATTGAAGGTGCAATGTAGAGAGAGTTTCAGGCATGCAAAAGAGAAGTACAGTGATAGGGGAATTGGTTGGCTGCACACGCAGGACTCTGCAGATATGTGCATCTTTACAGGTTCAAAACAAACCCATTGGATGGTCCATGTTGCGTTAGTTCAGAGAGTACAAATCCTCTTTAACAATTCACAAGGGATGGCTTTTTAGAGCCCAAATCAAACATTATTAAATGTTCTGGAAATTATTCTGGAAAATGTTCTGGAATTATTAAATGTTCTGGAAAATAAGAACAGTAGGACACAGAGCATCTTCTTTGAGTGACTGTTTTCAGCCTGAAAGAGTAATCAACAAGATGAAACCTTTTTTTTTTTGATCGGAAGAGAAGGTCTGCTCACATGTTCAAATGTTGCAATGTTCACTTGATCAATGCTTTATTCCTGGACTAACCTCCTACTTCTCTTCTCCATAAGTTATCCCTCAGTATCCATGGGGGAGTGCTTCCAGAAGCCCCTCCAAATACCAAAATCTGCTGATGGTGAAGTCCCTTATATAGAATGGGGTGGTATTTGCATATAACCTACGTGCATTCTCTTGTATCCTTTCGATCATCTCTTGATTACTTATAATACCTAGTATAATGGAAATGCTATGTAAATAGTTGACATACTGTATCTTTTTTTTTTTTTTTTTTTTGAGACAGAGTCCTCCTTTGTGCCCAGGCTAGAATGAGTGCCATGGCGTCAGCCTGCTCACAGCAACCCTCAATCTCCTGGGCTCAAGCCTCAGCTCCTCCCCCGAGTAGCTGGGACTACAGGCATGCGCCACCATGCCCGGCTAATTTTTTGTATATATATTTTTAGTTGGTCAATTAATTTATTTCTATTTTTGGTAGAGACGGGGTCTCACTTAGGCTGGTTTTGAACTCCTGACCTTGAGCAATCTGCCCGCCTCGGCCTCCCAAAGTGCTAGGATTACAGGCGTGAGCCACCACGCCCAGCCGACATACTGTATCTTTACAATTTGAATTCCAATGACCTTTACAGCTCTTGGTGCCCACGTGTGCCCATCGTTTAGGTCCCAATGATTAGAGAGTACACGTGGTGTTTGTTTTTCCATTCCTGAGACACTTTGCTTAGAGTAAGGGCCTCCAGTTCTATCCAAGTGGCTGCAAAAGACATGATTTCATTCCCTTTTATGGCTGAGTAGTAGTCCATGATGTATGTAGATCACATTTTCTTAATCCACTCATGAATTGATGGGCACTTAGATGGATTCCACGTCTTTGCAGGTGTGATGAACTGTAGATGCGGTTGGATTGCGAGCCTTTAAGTCTGCTGCTCTGCCCGGCCCTGGTTGTCACAGGGCTGGGGGGACAGGGCAGGCAGGTGAGGCACGG